TGGTCACTTAAAGTCCCCACTAACAATCCATGCACTCATCATTTAACAATAGCAGCCAGAACTGCCATCACTAAGTACATAGTAACAAGTTTTTTCAACTTAAACCACGTCACTTAATGACAGAATTGCAGTATGTGTATGTGTGTGTGTGTGTGTGTGTGTATATATATATATATATATATATATATATAGGTCTTTGGTTGTTCGGGTTTTCTCCCGCGTAAAATTGGAAGTGTCTTGGCGACGTTTCGACAAAGTCCCATTCGTCATCTTCAGGCTGGTGTTTTCAGCTTCGTGCTTCGAGCAGCAAAGCAAAGCAAAGTTGCTCGAAGCTGAAAACACCAGCCTGAAGATGACGAATGGGACTTCGTCGAAACGTCGCCAAGACACTTCCAATTTTACGCGGGAGAAAACCCGAACAACCAAAGACCTACATACAAACACCCACAAAAACCTCAGAATATATATATTCATTCCACTTTTTTCTTTTGTAAATCTAATAGGTAGTTTGAATGAGTATACAATAGACATGAATAAATTTATCAAGTGTTTAAATGTACACAAACTGATGTATACAAAACCTGAAACTACTTACTAATATTAAAAGAACACTGATACACAACATATATTTTACAAATAATTATTAACACAATATCCATGCTTAGAATTTAATAAACAATCTAATAAGAGAGAGGAAGGAAGGAAGGAAGGAAGGAAGGAAGGAAGGAAGGAAGGAAGGAAGGAAGGAAGGAAAGAAGGAAGGAAGGAAGGGAGGGAGGGAGGGAGGGAGGGAGGGAGGGAGGGAGGAAGGAAGGAAGGAAAACATGGCTAGTTTTTAGCACTGCATTTTATCTCAGAGGCACTATCATATATTCAAATGGCTACAATAGCTGCTATACTATACTGTTATAACTATATATAACTGTATATAGTTATCAAATAATGTAATTAATTTAGAATTTGGGATAAGTTACTGAAACACTACAATAAGATGGAAAAAATCACTTTATACAAGTGATTATTAACATATAATACTATGAACAATATCTTAACTTTCATTATGTGGGCACCTCATCAGTATTCCTGCCATCCATTGTCATGGCACTTTCTCCCTAAAAAACCAAAAACATTATTGAAGAAAAATATTTTCTTAAAGGACAAAATAAATCCTCCACCTCTTTGTAAAACTTCTACAGGAAAAACAGTAACCTTTATTTGTTATATTTTCATTCATGAATTCAAGATGAGTTGTTCTCCACAACAATCCTATTAAATAGTTTAGGCTAAGAGAGTGTGACAGCCATTGAACTTCCATGACTGAGAAGGAACTGCATTTAAATCTCCCTGGTGCCAGTTAAACATGTTAGCTACTATGCCATTTGGATGAACTTTAATATTAAAAAACTGGAATGTATAAAATATTATGAAAAATAGTATTTAGCTGAGAAAAGAATCCAAAGTGAGACAAATCTCAGAATAAATGTGATTTTTCTAATGACAGAATGAATAATGGAAGCAAGTACAGCAAAGTATAAATGGTCCCAGTAAAAGAAACAGATTGTTCAACAAAGAAGAGAGAATTGGGATTGGGCAGTAAGTTTTAATAAATAAATAAGTTTACCTTTACAGCAAATATAAAAAGTAAGGACAGCATACTAGTTGCTTAAGCCTTTCTGGTTTGAAGTAAATATGGAAATTGTTTGCAACACAATGCCAATAAGCCTAGAAATATAACTGCTTCACTTTGATTATTATTATTACATTTTGCCTTTGTTTCTCTGTCTCTCTGATTCATCTCAAGATGATTGCTCTACCTTCGGTCAAGTATCTTCTGAGTACTCAATGTCAATATTCATGTACAGTAAACATTATAAACAACTTAATAAGAAAGTTAATTTTTAAGAAGCAAGACCTAAAGAAGCAAATATAATATACAGATTCTGATTGGAGTCCCCAGTTAGGTACAGTATTTCTACTAAACTATAGTTAGTTTTATAAAAAAAGTATTTAAAAGATAATTATAACAAAATGGCACATGGTTGCAATTTGACAGCCTTTTGATACTTCATCACTACTATTAAGTCACACATTTAAAAGATCTTCAAGCTTTCTATTGGTTGCCATTCTATATGCTGCCAAAAATTAGTGCCACTACGTTTACCAAACAGTATTTAATTTTAGTAAAAAGTTATGTACATTTTAAAAGGAAATCTAAAATATTATCTAAGGAACACAGAAAATTCTGAGCAACATAATAGATACAATGATGTTTTTAAATTACAGAGATGCAGTTGAAAAACAGAAAACATAATTTGCTATGTACATTTACATATCAAAACATTATGCAAAGAAAAGTGAAATTAAATTCCAATGTTGAATTTAATTTTTAGAATATTAAGTTCTTTTTATTAAAAGCAAAGCATTTGGACAAATATTGTGAGTAGGAGGCATATTCATTTAATAAATACCTTCCTTTTTAGAACCTTTGATGCGTAAGGTTAGATACTATTTTAAATTAATTGCTGCTTTTAGTATGTTAAATATTTATGATTGATGAACATTGTATTTTTGTGCTTATGTTTGAGTTTGACATTAAAAGTCTCGTAATAAAGCAGAATGGTTAATGGTTAAATATGATATTATCTGTAATGAGCCCTTTAACTCCTTGGAGAATAGATGGAATTCAAATCTTTTAAAATATGTAATAAATGCACAAAAATAACTGTGGGTGGAATCACAGCCCCAAGACTTCAATCCTTAAATAAAGGAAATGTGAGGAAAAACTGGGCAAGTAATAACTTTCTGAAAGTTGAAAAAGGCTGAGGGGATTGCTATTATTTAAATAATATTGAAGTATCCATTTAAGACTAGAAGAAGGCACAGGTGTTAATAATTAAAATCTGAATGGGACTTTACATTTGTGTATAATAACAAACATAATGTTATGGGTGCATAAGAGCATATAGTGTACAAATTGTATCTTGGAGGTGCAGTGATTAGAATGCAGTACTTCAGGCTAATTCTGCCCACAATCTGGTTGATCCTTGACAAGCTCAAGGTTGACTCAGCTTTCTATCCTTCTGAGGTCAGTAAAATGAAGACCCAAATTATTGGAGGCAACATACTGACTTTGTAAATCTCTTAGAGAGGACTGTAAACCACTATGGAGTGGTATATAATTCTAAGTTGTATTTGCTATTGTATCTGTAATGTGAATGTCTATTAAGGGTTTATTATACCTGCAAATGTTTCTTCTTACTTTATATGAAAGGAACAGAAGTTATAATGCTTTTTTAAAAATATGAAAATGGTGAGGAAATAAGAATATTTTGATAGTAACATTAGTTTTAAGCTTTGAACTTCTGTAAAGTTTTATGGTCTCCACCTATAAAAATCAAGAGAATGGGAACTATACAATCTTTAGGTAAAATTTCAAAAAAATTACAAGTGATTTATCCATGGCCAATCACATCAATGTTTTATAGCAGAAATTCTCAACATGGCAATCTGTGGGTGTATTGAATTATAACTTTCTTTACCTCCTGAACTGAAGGGCTGTAGACTGGATATTAGTTGGGGATATGATTTAGAACATCTGGAGGGCATCAAGTTGCTTTATAGCCCAGTATCTATAACATCTTTTACAAAAATAATCTCAGTACTTTATTGTCTTTACAATTTAAACTTAGCTTTATATATTGCTCTTATGCTTAAGAATATCCAAATTTTTATGTTTGTATTGTATTGTACTGTACTATACTGTACTGTACGGTGTGGTGTGGTATGGCATGGTATAGTATAAAACAGATCTTGCTTTACTATGATCTTGAATTCTAGACAATATGGTGACAAACAGTTTTCATAGTTAAATTTTCTTTTAAGTTGTTTACAATATTTGAAATATTACTTTCCAAAAGAATGGACAATAATTACTGAGCCTGTGAACTCTTTTAAGCCATTTATAGTGAGGGTTTATAACCAAGAGCTTCTGTAATTTTGACATACCTCAAACCTTCTATATGTAATATCAGTTTAGCAAAACTGTGTAGTGTATTTGGTCACATCTATGTTTCTTATATATTTCAGCATTATTTATTTGTCATGCCATATCATTTTCAACCATTTAATTCTTAAAATTAGCACTAATTCCCAATTAAAAAAGACAGAGGATTGGGCATAAACATTAACAATCCCAATATTTGGGTAAAGTTTCCAATCATTATTAAATAATTTTGATAACTGTAAGTTGATAACTGATACCCGCATATTAGCCCTAACATTTAATAATAGTCAGAGATAGTAAAAATCCTCCAGGTCAGCAGAACTATAATATTTTTAAATTATCAAATGGAATATGGGACATATGAATTAAATATAATAGCAATTAATGCATTCAAATTTAATAACTTGTAGGAATAGCACACATGCATGTTTGCACATACATATTCACAGGCATGCATACAAACATTGTTTGTACTAACCTTCTAGAATCTGAATTAATGCCCCAAAGATTTTTTCCTATCATAATTAATTACATCTTTAGAACACAAAATTGCATATACATACCCCTATTTTGTAAACTATCAAACTCTATATAAACCACAAATGTTATTATATAAAATATAAGTTTATGCAAGGTACTGCAATATAATTCTAAGCCATGATTCAATATAATCATATTTAGATTGTTTTGTCAATTACTAGATTGTTTGATGTTCAAACTGCTTAAACTGTCAGTTTAAATGTTTAAACTGTCAAAACCTTTAACAAATAATCACATAGTATTTATTTTAGGAAGGACATAGTCTTGTTGAAGTCAGATTCAGAATCACATTACACAAATCGTTACTATAAAACTAGTAGACAAAGGTGCAATTTTCTATGAAAAAAATGGATGGTTTCCATCTATTCCATATAGGCAGAAGCAAATAATATAAGTTTATAGTGTTTGCCTGGACATTTCCAAAAAAAAGGGCTCCATACAGTTATCAGTCTCTTACCCATTTGGAAGTATGGGCTTTCATGGGATTATAGCTCAGATGTCCTTCACTGTCATGGATTACTGTGGATTTAACATAAATTTCTCCACTGTCCTCCTGCATTTCATTTGCAAAATTCCTGTTCCATATCAGTATGTTCCTTCTCTTCTGAAAATGTATTTAATAGCTGTTAAGAATATTGTAATTTCAGTGCGCTTTGTATTGTGGATGAAGATACTCAATTCCTTTCTATTCCAACAATATAAGCAGAGAAAACATAAACATACTCTCTCACACACACACACGTCATGTGTACATACACACATACACATCATACATACATACATACATATATATATATATACACACACACATATACATACATACATACACACACAAACACACACATAATTATTATTAATCACTGAAAGTGCTATAGGAAATTAAAAAAAATTGGGAAGGGAATTTATTAGAACATATAAAAGTATAAAATGGTCTTTATTTATTTTATTTTGTTCAGGAGTCATTTGGTACTACATGGAATGTACCAATGGTATTTTTGAGAAGCAAAATGTAAAATATAATGGAAACCATTTTAACTGAAGTCCATATATGTATACATTCCAAGAACTGTGCATCTTAAGTTGCCAATGTTATTCAATGCTTTTAAGTTAAAAGTTTTTAAATGAGAGGGACAAAATGAAATTTTATAGGAAAATTGATAAATAAATTTATTTGGCAATGTGTCCTTTATACTAATACATGCATATCCAAAATGACTTATTTTCAAAGTCTTTTAATTAAAAGAATGAAATAAAATTATTATGAGTCTGAAAAGTTAACTTTTGCCAGAACACACACGCAAATTTCTTTTCCTATTTTTTTTAAGCAGCCAGAGATTAAAAGTTAAACTATGAAAATTATCTGAGGTAAACTCTGAAACTTGAGGTGGTAACAATGAAGACAATTTACTTCTGGAATAGTAATAGTAATAGCAATCGCATTTAGATTTATATACCACTTCACAGTGCTTTACAGCCCTCTCTAATCAGTTTACAGAGTCAGCATATTGCCCCAACAATAGAGTAGAATAGCTTTATTGACCAAGTGTGATTAGACACACAAAGAATTTGTCTCCGATGCAAAAGCTCTCGGTGTACATGCAAAGTAACAAAGTAATAATAATCATAATAATGATATCAATAAGATGGGTAGTAAAGAAGATGGAAAGGATAATACTACTATAGCCATACAACATGGGTAAATATACTTAAACATAAGATAGTACTGTGAGTATTAGGTGTTTAGCAGCATTATGGCATGGGGGAAAAAAACCATCCCTGTGTCTGGTTGTTTTGGTATACAATGTCCTATAGTGGCATCCCGAAGGGAAGAGTTGAAACAGGTTATGTCCAGGATGTTAAGGGTCTTTAGATAGTTTCTTATCCCTCCTTCTGACCCATGCAATATACAGGTTTTCTATGGAAAGTAGGCTGGTTACAATTGTTCTTTCTGCAGTCCTAACTAATCCATTGCTGTACCAAACCAGACAGTTGAAGTACAAATTATAGTCTCAACAATTCCTCTGTAGAACTGTATCAACAGCTCCTGGGGCAGTCACCATTTTTGCTAGTCACTATTCTTACTGTAACTTAGAAGGTTAAATCAGTATTCTTATAGAGAAGTGCATTTAAAAAGTATAAGAATTTTGGAGAAAAGCTAATTTAAAAAGGGTATGCTAAGGCTAAGCTGTATGTAGAGCATGTACCACATAATGTATGTTAAATAGAAAAGTGTTTATTAAGAGTAGATGTATATAAAAAAGTAGTAAATTTTGAAAAAAAATAAGCCTGTGCAGAACACTCAAAACAAATTGCTTTGCCAAGCATGTTAGTAAAATACAAGCATTTCTTGTATGCAGAGACAATAAATCTACTGAGTTTTCATCTAGGTTTTCCAAGAATGAGTCTCTCACTCTTCAAGGTAAGGTGTTTCATTTGTGTCAACATGCTTCTTCAAATTCCTCTTTGAAACACTTTGCACTATTTCAAGAGTACATACAATTTTCAAATGAGAAAAGTAATGAATTTTCTGGTTTTTAAAAAATTGTTCACTGAAAAATTAAATGAAACATAATAATATAGACACATAGCTCTAAAACAAAACAGATTTTCACTGACCTTAACACCAATGCTAACAAATACAAAAGAGTTTTAAAATTATTTACAATACTTTATTGTATTTGATAAAGATATTTACAGCTGTCTATAGATGTAGAAAGTGCTATTGCTTACTATCTTGTTATTCTAATAATGTCCAGTTGTCTTTCAGTGTTTATATAATCAAATTCTGAGGTTAGTATTTTCAGTAAGATTCAAGGATACAAAAAAGAAATCAAAGGGTGTTCAATTGCTGCCTAAATCTAATCCAAATGAAAGGCAACCTGCTATGTTTAGTTGTAACTTGGGATGTGTTGGCATGTCCCCTGAAAAAGCAGGTCCATGATCAGGATGATCTTCCTGGACAGGATTACTGATAAATAGTGGGTGGTAGTGATGGTCAAACTCTGAATGGTATATTAGTTAATGTTCTAATTGGAATAAAAAGCCTTAACAACAGTGACTCATGAACTTATTGATACACAACCAGTCTACTATAATACACTCAGCATAACACTACCTTTGAAGATGAATTAGAAATTGCAACTAGCACAAAGTGCAACAGCCTACATATTGATAGGTATGAGCTACCATAATCATGTAATATCTTTACTGTGGATTTTGCATTAGTTACCCATTAGTTCTGAGTGCAAATCAGATTTAGTGTTCATCTACAAAGGACTTATATGGTTTTCTAATATTTTCAGAATCAAATCTTTGCTTCATGGCTTCTCAAAGAGTTTGTTAATAATTTCCTATTACCGAGAAGTTAATGGGCAAAGCTTTGCACATAGTGGACATTGTTTGTTTTCTTTTGTTTTGCTGTAGTTCTCTATTATGGAACAGCTTTCCATAGAAGTCAAATTAGCATGTTCTCTAATCATCTTCTGGAAGCTGGTAAAATAGACTTTAGATCATTTAGGGGAATGAAGAATGCATGTCAATTGTATTATTACTATTGTGTTGATGTTTTTATTTTAATATTTTTATTATTATAAACAAGCTAATGTAGACTGTGGCAACTTATAAATAAAAGAAAATACTAACTAAATAAAATGGAATATTTAATAATGTTTCATTCCTCTCAGTTCAATTTATTAAGCAAACATCTTATTTTAAAATGACATTTTCATTTTAAAATAATTTTCTAGTCTATCCTTAAAAAGTTATGGTGAAATTTCATTCAAGTACTGATCTCAAATAGCTAGCAGCCAAGATCACCTAGTGACTGTCAGCTTATTATTGTAAGATCAGCTATAAATAATGACACTGAACGACAAAAGATTTTTCTTCCTGAACATTTTGGGGTGTATCTTATAAATTTTTTGTTCCTAAGCATGAAAATAACCTATAATTTAGCAGATCACATACAATTTTATAGAAATCTTCTGCTTTTACACAATGACTAGGTTGCACATATGGAAAAAAAATACAAAAAACATGAACTGTAGTTGAAGCATATCCAGTACACCAAGAACATGTGAAATATCTGTGAAGATCTAACATGCTGGCGCTGCTGCTTGGAATGCAGTTCAGATATACCAAGTATTGTTGTTACATATGCAAAAGAGACAGCCATGCAAAAGGGTTGCATTACTCTAAAAGAAAATGGCCACTATGAAAGAATTTGGTTCCAGTGTAGAAAAAAAACAACACATGAACTATTTGTTGACCTATCAAAGATATTTTTGCCTTCTCTTCACATAAAATTAGGACTAATGAAAAATGTTGTGAAAGTGATGAACAAGATGAAATTTTTTGTTATTGGAGACAGATATTTCCAAGAATAACTGATGCATTTTTGTTTGTCCACAGATCAGATACATCGTCAATGACAAGTGGTTTGAAGATCTGTTAGAAGGGCTAGAGAAAATCACCTGGAAAGCATTCAAGAATGTCATTGAGAATTTTCTTGGCAACTGCAAAGCACCAAACTATATCCAGCTGGTTGACAAACTTCTTACAACATAGAAGACCATGAAGTGCAACATATCACTGAAGATTCACTTTCTGCATTTACATTTCTTTCCCAAAAATCTAAGTCCAGTCAGTGACAAAAATGGGGAAAGGTTTCACGAAGACAATGCCACACTGGATAACAATGGAAAAATGATAACAGGGAAACTAGAATCCATCAAGTGGTTGACTATTGTCGCACACTTCAGTGAGATGCATTAGATATTGAGTACAAACAAACATCAGCAGCAAAACACTTTTAATCCTATTTAAGTCATGCAATGTATCTGAAACATTATGCAATTAAATACATTATAGTTATTAAAAGTTAATTTCATTTTTTTCAATATTCCTATGTGATACAATTATTCTTAAATTGTATTTGTGTTATTTGAAGGGTTCTATCATAATCACCAAAAGTTTTTCAAGAAGCAAAACTTTTGAAAAAAATTGTTGTCCAGTGAATTATTCTTTGAATGTGTCAAGCATTGAACAAAACTTTGCAAACTGCTTCTATGTTGTAATTAGATTACATTCTTTGGTCCTATCTGGAACATTGACTAAAAAGGATGAAGGGGTTATAAACATGAATCACTGTAGCTAGCCCACCTCATCACTTGTACACAAAAAGTGGGACTTGTTGGAATCTCTTTAAATTGGACTGTGGAATAACATTTAAATGAGCTACATTAAAGTCCTTTTTTTGATTTGCATCAGTCAAAATTAGAATGGTATTCCCATTTTGGTCGTTAATTGGGAATCATGAGTCATTAACTGAGTAGCCAAGCCATTCCTCAGTAAGAAACGGACTGCCTCCCATTTCCCCCAGCTACCTATCTTCTTTTCCATCTTTGCTCGTTGGATGACTCAATACCTATGAGTGGCAAAAAGCTCTGCTTCTGGTTGCCATGCCCTGGGAAGCTGAAGTTGCTTTAACCCAATCCTAGTTGTTTTCACCATTCTGCACTCTTGAGACCCTTGCTGCCTTGCACTCTGCTACTCCAGTTCTCCTTCACTGCTTTTCACTTGCTTGTGCTGCAGGGCTGAGCTTTG